GTAGATCACATTCCAGAATAGTTAAGGAAGAGCCAAATAAAGAGCATCAATAGTTCCATCCTATCGCCCCTTGTAGACTAAGACTATTGCGTGGATACCAAAGGAGCCTTCGGAACGATCTAAAAGCTGCCCTCAAGATATTCAAAATAACTTGGACAGCGTCTGTTGATTACGAAGGAAGCGGCCGCCATCAGTTTGCGCCGACCAGTCCAAAAGAATTTCATAACGGTACCGCAGTTACCATGACCAAAAGTCGTTAATCCGACACACCGTAGCTTCTCATTTTTCTCGATTACGAGTCCCCCCAAACGTTGATCTGTTTTTAGACCCCAATTAACCCCCCCCTCTACCTCCTCTGACCACTGCACTATTTTTTCGACAAGCCGACATAATTTATTTCATTAATTACGATATAAATGTACAGGCCTGACCAGAATGTCTCGAAAACAAACGTACGTTCGCCGGTTTATCTTCTAAAATTGCATTTATATAACGGAAATGTAACTAGATTATCCAAAATGTCTGTGGAATCAATTCAATTGGGCACTTTTTCCCAGTTCGTTCAGTGCTTTGAGTCCTGCTGATTGCAAGCACAATTAATTGCCAAAACTTATCGTTTTGGGCCAAACTGTAATAACATATCGTGGTCTCTACCGAAGGCTAGTAACCGTCTTTATTGTTATTTGTTGATAATGGTAAAGATTTCGAGCATTTTTCCCCTGTATAAATTTATAAAAGGCATAGGCAACAAGATTTATTGGATCCAATCAATTTTGCGACGGTTTTTTTAACTGCAACCTCTCTTTGCTTGATCTAGGTAACGGGTGGAACAGTTTGAATTTTCACACAATTCCATTGCATAATAGCAGGAGTCATAGTTCGCTGCAAATAATCATCAGATGAAAAGCATTACCTTAAACCAGCATATAAGAAAAAAAGGTGTGGGAGAAAATTAAAACAAATCACAATTGTTATTAAATCTAGGCGCCTGATTACCAGAGCAGTTGGGGATTGACAACACTTTGCTTTTGCTGCTTGCATAGGTCGGATTCCTCCCACCATATGTTGGCTGCTTCCAAGTAGCGCAGGAGAGCTGTGGACAAACTGACCACATTCTAGCAGCATTTTTAGTAACCGAGGGCCGTCGTACTCTATTTTATTGCTTAAAAAGCCAGTTAAGCAAATGCTTCGTGTATCTTAGGCTGCCAGTTGCCTTTACGTATGCCCAGTGCCCTTGGATTCGCAGATATTGAGCGTTAAATGTATTTTTTATGCGTTTGCTCCTTGCGCCGATATAATGTAAATCATTGCTTTGTCATTTATCACCGTATTCATTCCCCTTTTAGCAGCTAAACCGAAAAATTACATTCGTGAGAACATTCGACGTCTCCGCGAAACGCAAACAGCCAATACGCGTCGAACCCCATCCGTTCGAGGATCACACCTGCGCGATACTGGGCAAGACTTCCGGGCAAATGCTCGTATGCACTTAATCAACCAGTACTTTGATGGCATGCCCGCCAAATCAGAAAAGTCGGTCATCGGAAGCTGTGGTGATCAGAAAACTGACAGCCGTCTTGTGGAGCACAGAGATGCCGGTGTTGAGACAGATATATGCAAACCACAAATATTAACCGTGAGTCGACACGTATTTTTCGATGCAATGGGGACGCCTCTCTGAATACGTCTTTCTACTGTAGCTAATATTGGCATTTTTTGTGACATGCTACTTCTTCTATCCTCTAGCGACATCGCAGTAGTTCAGTTCATTGCTGACGAACAATGATCTGTTAGATCTAATGTCATCGTTTGTCTGGCTTAGGTGTGGATTCGTGGCAATGGCCAATAAACCAGCCACGCCCATTGTATGATGAAAGATAGGTGCTCACCGATTCGTTACGGAACTTACTCGTCTCGTTGGGCCTTGGAGCTTGCTCATGAGCCCAGCCAGCAGTCGCTCAACGGCTAGCGTATTATATAGGCAGAAATAGCTCGGTGTCGCCACTCATGGGGCTAGGTATTCCTACTGATGACGGCTAATAAACCGTAAATGGTCATTTAAGTCTCCATTGTCTTTGTCGGTGATGTATTTATACGTCTCCTTTGCGTTAGTGGTGGTATTTTTTGCACTAGTTTTTGTTGGACCGAGGGTTCAGTATTAGTATCAGTTTATTGAAGGAAAGATAGGTGAAAGCCTTTGAACCGCCAGTGGTAACAAGATGATAGGGAATATATGGACACAAAGAAAAATTGCAAAAAGTGCGCCAATTACATGCTTGAGGATGAAAACACAGCAGTTGGTGGTTAGTCGGAAGAGTAATAAAACATGACTACTCGCTTATTACAAGTAGTATACTGTAACTTCTGTGTATGTCACCCAGTTGCCAGGTTATTGCCGTCAAAGACTGCGCTCTGAAAAAGGGACCGCTTAAGTAATATGGACTTTTTCAATCGATTCTCGAGGCATTTGCGAGTTCAAATGTGTTTTTCTAGA